CTGCCCAGGTGCCCACCAACAAACACAATTAGGCTGGTGGGCACACAGAAAAGGGCCTCTGTAGAAGTGGCCTGGCAGTGATAGAATGCCATTCTGCCTGAAGTTAGGTAAGCTCTGAGCCTCGGCATCCCTCAAGGGCAGGCGTCAGTGAAATAGTGGACCTTCTCTGGATACTGAGGCTAGATCTAGTTATTCTCTCCAGGTTAAAGCAGGAGCCGGACCTGACAGGCAGTGGCTTGCTTAAGACTACTTACTGAGTTCATAGCTAGGGTGAGATTTAAACTCGGAATGATAAGCTGGGCTTGGGCCAAGGCTTTGTTCTGACCCCTTCCTTTTCGAAGAGTGTCTTGGCCTTCCTTTTTGAAGAATACAACCAAATGTTTCTCACAGAACTGAATTCTTTACAACCTGAATTTTCTGGAACTATATTTACAACCCCTGACATTTAATTCTGAGTTGGTTCTCCACAGAGTCCCCCTCTGCACTTGAAAAACAGTATTTTAAAAAATGGAAGGGAGCACAAAGAAGTTAGCCTTCGTGGCATGCGTTCAGTTATTAATCACTGTGACAGCCACATTTTCTTTCAGACTGAACGCTACTCGCAAATACCAAGGCATGATATTAGCTTGTGCGAAAGAAGACCAGATATTGAATAAAGGACTCTCTTTTTCTTATTTCTTAAAATATTGGATTGATGGGACCCTGGCAATCAATACTATTCTTTTTCTCATTAAAGGCTCTTGCAAGTATTTTGCTCCAGAGCCTCAAAGAGCACATTTCAGCATGAAGAAATCTGTCAGTTTCTAGTAATGGTACATTAACAAGTTAAGTAAAAATTATGGATGAAATGTTTAAGCCTGATTATGGAGTGCCATTGGTTTTAATGAGTTTTGATAGGAGGTTCAGAGACTCAAAACCACACAGGCCTCATCTTTTCCTTAGTTTAAGACAATGCAATCTCTGTCCTGCACCTTCTACTGCTCCCATAGCAATTCTGAATGTTGTCTATTCCAAGTGTTGTGAGCTCCTATTGGATAGTGCTTGTGACATCAAAGTCCAATGAGGATATTTCCCTTGTCACGCTGCAACGGCCTCTTTGTACATAGAACTTTGCCCCCTCTCCTCCTCTGCATCTCCCTTAAATCTGTTCTGATTCCTCAACCCTCCAGAGAAGATTTGGGGGTACACAGAGTGCACATGGTGGGGGGGGCAGGGAAGAGATGTCACAAGCAGGTGTCAGGAGCAGGTCAGCAATAACTCACACAGGATTAGTGAAGTTAACTCTTTAACCAAAGAAACAGGACAGCTCATAAAGCCAAGCCTAGTGAGTTCAACAATGCTTCCCGGTAGATCTTGCCCCTATGAGGCAGTTGTGAGGACTGAAAGTACCCACCTTTTCCTTAAGTTTCCTCCTCCCCCAGGTTCTTCCCAAGCAATCTGAAACTTTGTTGCCTTGCCTGTCTTTTCTCTGCCCTCTTCATACCTCTTCTGGAAGACCAGGAGGGAGGGAAGCTGGTTGCAGCAGGAGGGGGAGACCCCCTGGCTTCTTCAGCAGCCTGACTCATCTCTGCCGCTTGCCCCTTCCTCCTCTCCAGTCACTGATTCTGGACTGCTGTCTGTCACAGACTCTACCTGCTCATTAAGCCCTGTTACCTCTTCAGCTTCCAACGCCTCTTCCCAGTTTGCTCCCTCTTCTCCCTCTGACCACTCATAGTCATCCTGCCACCCATCCCTTGGCTCTGAACCTTCTTCTCTCGGGGGTTCCCCAGCTGGTACCTCATAGCAGTGCTCTGCATCCAGCCAGTCCATGACAGGAGAGTAGGACAATTCCATTGCTCAAGCATAAATCCTTGTGCTGACAGGATGCGCTAGTTGGATACCATCTTAAGAGTCCAAGCTTCTGGCTGGAGAGCAGAAACTGAGTGTGAAGATGAACAAGAGTTCTACCCCAAAATCAACTTAATTCACCTTTAGTTTGTCCTGTAGTTATGGGAATGACTTTCAGGTGCTGTTCAGCATTTTTTGAACTAGTTCAGTGAACTTCATTCACTCCACTCAGCTTCACTCCACTGCTTCTTAGTGATGTGATTTTAAGCACTGCTGCTATCTGGAAAGAGATTGTTTTCATATGTTTATTATTATGAGATTCATAGTTGATTTTTGACCTGGTTTATAATGGTTTTATGTTATGAACTGCTTTGAAAAGCTGCTGGTTTGGCTCTGGAAGATGTTATAAAAATATCTGAATAAATAAATAATATTACACGCATTAAAATTGACATCCATACACAAACCAGCTCTAAATGTAGGAACATGCAAGTGTATAAAAAAAGTATCCTCAGTGTGTGTTTTAGTGGCACATTGATGAATTGAAATTTGCAAAATAAGACTCTACACTAAAAGAGGTCCCTATTACCTCCATTCATTTCTGGAATCTTGCAAGTGTTTTTCCTACCTTTGGAACATGACGGCATTCTGCATGTCTGGCCTTACAGGGAGGTAAATATTCCATTCATCACTACTTTTGCAGGATCAGGACGTTCATACCATTAATTACTAGAAAGAAACAAGTTTCCTTCACAAATAATGGATATTGATGCCTAAATTGGCTTAAGGTATTGTTGGTTCTAATGGTCCCAGTTGGAAACTTTTAGCAGGGCTGGCAAAGATTTCTGCTTATCCTCCTGAATGGCTCCCTACTCAAGATGCGTTATGGAAAAATGCCACAGACTCTTTCTGCCTGAGAATTTGATTTCACTTAAAACAAATAATCTTCCTCTGCAAACCGACTTCTCACCACACAACTTAGCCCTGAATCACAAAATCGCTCATAATCTTAGGTGATGACAGTGCAATTTTGACATATGGATGGAGACACTGCCTGATTCAGGAATAGGATCCTGGGAAGAGGTTATAGTGAGAAGAAGTTCAAGAGTTTTTAGATTCCTGCTGCATTTGCACTTTAGAATAAACATATGTCTGGACAAGGAGAGAGCCATAGGGACATTGGAGGAATCTGTGAAAATGGACTATCAAGCAAATTTCCTTCCTCCACCTATTCAACACCTATTGGACTCTAGCCAGGAAAGCTGCTCTTCTTAGTTCTCTACGGTTAACTTTTTAAATGCATGCACACTTTATACATAGATAGATACATAAATTGTTTTGCAGTGTGCATTATTTGCATAGTGTGCTTCCTAACTTTGTCTTAAAATGCCCACCCTGGTGGTGTTGTTTGTCCCCCCGCAAAAAAAACTCCCTGACATTTGAATACCATCTCTTTCAGAGTTTGGAGCTCCCTCCCCAGGTCTCATGAGGAAGCGTTTAAAGGTCTAGGGAAGAGACAGCAGCCAGGGTAGAACTGGTGCAGCGCAGGCATTATATGAATTGTGAATATTCCTGACTTAGCCTTAAGAAAAGCCCTGCTGGATCAGACTAAAGTTCCATAGTCCACCACACTTGTTTCCTAAACCAGGGAATCAGATGCCCACAGAATGCCACAAGCAGGACATGAGTGCAATAGCCTCCCACTGTTGCGCCCCAGCAGCTGGTATGCCATCTTGGAACAAGCATGTAGCCATCATAACTTGTAGCCTGACTAATATGCAGTAGCCATGTTCAGCAGCTCTTCTGAAGAAGTTTGCAGGGAGCAGCGCCGGGCTGAGTTTATGTTTAGTAATGGCTACTGCCAGAGACGTAGGGACGTGGGTGGCGCTGTGGGTATCAGAGCCTAGGACTTGCCAATCAGAAGGCCGGCGGTTCGAATCCCCGTGATGGGGTGGCTCCCGTTGCTCGGTCCCTGCTCCTGCCAACCTAGCAGTTTGAAAACATGTCAAAGTGCAAGTAGATAAATAGGTACTGCTCTGGTGGGAAGGTAAACAGCGTTTCCGTGCACTGCTCTGGTTTGCCAGAAGCGGCTTAGTCATGCTGGCCACATGACCCGGAAGCTGTACGCCGGCTCCCTCGGCCAATAAAGTGAGATGAGCACCACAACCCCAGAGTCAGACACGACTGGACCTAATGGTCAGGGGTCCCTTTACCATTACCTTTTACTGCCAGAGACATGCTTTCCTTTTCATCAAGCCCACACCCAGTCGGTTTCTCTCCGTTCCTCATTCCCCCTTTCATTCCTCTGTCAGTTCTGCTTCCCTTCTTGATCCTGATCCTCCACTTTACCCATTCCAACTGTGCTGGTCCCGAGGGTTAACCGTACAGCGAGGTCTGAGTCCTGTTTCTGCCTGCACCGTGTCCTACTCTTCTACCAGTATGGTATGGAGCGGTATGGAGGCTGTCCATCAAAGCTGAAGCGGGGTCCAAGGCAGGGAGTCAGGTGAGGTCAGGAACTCTGGCAGAAGAGTAGGACACGGTGCAGGCAGGAACAGGCTACCAACAATGTTGCTCCCACAACCTGGGACTGGGGCTGGCTGGCTTTTATCTGCCCCGAGGCATAGGGCAGCCCCGGTCCACAGGTGACCTGCCTCTCCTGGCCTGGAGGCGAGCACTCCTCCTGCAGGAACTTAGTTCCCTCTGCCTCTCTGCCCTGAGCCTCTGCAGCTCAGGAGAGGCTGAAGTGTTACCGGACCCAGAGGCAACCTCAGCTTCCCCTGAGAGTGGAGCACCTGCAGGCAATGGGTCCGGAGTTCCATCACCTCCGGAGCCAGAGCAGACTCAACTGGTGCCTGCACCTGAGGATCCAGCACAGGTGAGGACCCTTCAGGCTCAATCCCCAGCTCCGGCTCAGCTGGTTCTGGAGGCTGGGACTCCTGTGCAGGCTGGGATTCCTCAGGTTCAGCCTCTGAGTCCGAATCCCAGGCCATCACACCAACTCTGGGCTGAAAGCTGAAGTGGGTCAGCATTAGTGCTGTGCTGAAACTTGCCCTCCCAATTCCTTGTAAGTTTTATTCTGTGTTGTACAGAGTTTTGAGATTTTTTTCTTTAAAATATAAAGCAATATAGAAATGTAAGAATAAAAATAAGAATAACGGGACTTCTGTATATGGGACAGATCAGTCAGTACAGCATGAGACTCTTAATCTCAGGGTAGTGGGTTCAAGTCCCACGTTGGGCGAAAGGGGGTTGGACTTGTGATCCCTTCCAACTCTACAATTCCTCGGGTCTATGATTCTTCTCTCTCACTCTCAGGGTGCTTTAGAATTTATTCATAATTCTGGTGGGTGCAAGTTTCAACTTAACTTCTCATTGTGAGGTGGCTGAGGCTGGTCTGTCTGGTTTTCATGTCATTAATGTCTCTCCAGTACACTGCATCCTGCCCCCCAACTCCCCACACCTTATTGCTTTGAAAAGGCCCCATAGGAAGAGTTAGATCATGATGCCTTCCCATGCCAGACAGCACAGTGAGTATTTATAGAATGAAATGAAGGCGCAATCACAAAACATCTTGACCTACCTCAAAAGGAAGGCAAGCATAAGAAAAATCCTGCTCTCTGTCTTGAGGATTTCATTGTGATTTTCTCTTCCCTCTGATAATTTATGAATGCTGTTTCTTCTCTCAGTAACTGATGGGGGGTGGTTGGGGGAAAATGTGGGAGCATCAGAGAGCCATGTCTCAGGCACAGAAAACTGACGGTCTGATCTAGAAGACTTCCCTGCCTTTGTTCAAGTTACATTCCTCTCTGCCAGCTTCTGCCTGTGGCAAAATGTATGTGTTCAAGCTGCCCTTTGCCACCACTTTAGCGAGTTAGCTTGCCTCTTTGAGTACAAGGTGAAAAATAAACCTTATTAGCTTACTGAAAATAATCACTGCTTCCCTGATTTTTTTGTTTGTATTTTCATTATGTTTTTCTGATTTGCAGGCGGGGAAGATTATCCTAATGTACCGTCAGCAACCACTGAGCATTTTAAAGAGATTTCTCATCTGGGCTGTTTTGCTGGTGAGTCGTTGAAGCCTGATGTTTTAAAGATAATAGCATTAGCGGTGCTGCCAGGCCCTTGTTATTTTTAATTACAGTAGTTGCTCACAAAATGCAGATAATCTAACAAGAGGGAAATGGTCCAGGGCCCCAAAGTATTGCAGCATGCCATCTTGTTATCTCCAACTGCTCTTCAAAACATCTGCTTCTGCTATAAGGTATCTAAACTGGAAGTAATCTGGTATAACCCTTGTTCAGCTCTTCCCTCTTTCTTGGTGGGGTCAGGACGGTCCATCCTGTTTTGCCACCCGAGGCAAAATGGGTAGGTGCCTCATACCTCATGCCTCACGCCAAAGCCTTGCTTACTGGGTTCACACAACTTCAACTTCTGGCAAGGTCTTGCAAGACGCTTGTTACATCTCTCCAGAAACCAGAAGCCCCAGGCGCTTCTCCTTGCTTCTCTGGCAGGGGCAGTGGTGTGCGAGCGGACAGGATTTTTTAAAAAATCCCCTCAAAATTCAAAGTTCAGTTCCCATTTCCCCCCCACATCATTGGAGATTGAATAGTTACCATTAGCCTATTTATCATCATTCTGCTAGCTGGATTTAATGGAATCAATATTAATTACTGAATATCAAGCGTAGTCCGAAAACAAGACACAGGGCTGTTAATGTCCCTGTAGCTTCCAGAGAGTGAAGAGGGCTTATTGACATGATGTTAGCCGTTTTTAGGACCACCCCTGTTCACCACCTTAAAAAATGATTTCAAGATTTAATGATTTCATAAATTCATGATTTCATTATTCCATGATTTAATTCACGATTTCATGAATTTATGATTTGGTTCATTATTTTTCACGAATTCATGATTCAATTCACAAATTCATGATTTCATGATTTAATTCACGAATTCATGATTTAATTCAGGATTTCATGAATTCATGATTTGATTCAGGATTTCATGATTTCAAGAAAAGATGCCTTGATTCAGCAAAGAGCCACATTCAGCAGAGGAACCCTGGAAACAAGTGGGTGGGTTGCCTGGATTCCCACCACCCTCTGTAGCTGTGCACATGGAACCCTGTCAGAAAACTGGTTTGTGTTTCCTTTTGGGAATGAGGCACAATGGAGACTGTGGTGTCTTTATGATATAGGGTTTATTTACATATCCAGGCAACACCCAATGTGTGTGGGTGTTGTATTCTGGGTCAACACATGCGATTGCAAAGTTCACGGAAGACTGCTACGCTACATTTTGCCCCTTTTCCGGCCACAGTCGGATTGCCATGATGTGCGCGTGTACGGTCACATGTCAGTTGGATGCATGATGGAGGGGTTCACAGCATTAACGCCCCCAAAGGGTCTTCTCCCATAGTCACAGCCTTGGATTCAAACAGACCTCCAATATTGTACTCTGACCCTGTCTCCAGCTTGCTGCTTTTCCCCTCACACACGCTTTCAGCTCTGAACTCACTATCCATGGGTTGAGCGAGGGGGCCCTACCCATTTGTTGTCTGGCACAGAGCTCCCTCTCCTTTGCTTTCACAGTGCTCCATCACCTTTCTTTTATTCTCTTAATGGCCCATTATTAATGTGATCTCTTAATGTGATCACCTGAACATAGGAAGCTAGCCTGGTTTGATTAGCTTTTAACACTTGCTGGGTTCAGAAATTATGTGTCTTGCACCCAGTTTAACCTACCAAGACTTGATTAAATTCTAACACTCACGGGATCCAGGAATTTAAAGGGGTCTGGCACTCCCAAACTCATAAGAATATTGTCCTTTTCCATATAACAGTTTTATAAGTTAATGTATTAAGTCACTTTATTGGGGAAAGGAAAACTCTGTTGTCTGAATTCAAAGGCCAGACTGAGGTATTCACCCAGGAAGGGTAGAGAACACACAGTACTCCTCCTGTTCCTTCCCTTTCTATTTTTGTTTTCGCCTGGCTTGGGGCCCATTGCAACATTTTATTAAAAAAAAAATTATATCAGTTCTCACCATATTTCATTAAAGCACTTAGCTAGAATGCTGAAAATCTCTCCTTCATGTCCTTTCCCTTCCATTCACCTTCTAACTTATGCACATAATTTTTGAGGCCTGCTTCAGGTCCAAAGGCATGGTTTGCCAAGACGCAGACAAGTTTCTATGTGCTCCTCTCAGGAGCTGTAGGCATGCCAAATGTTTAACATCATTGACCGTGAAACACAGGAAAGTCTCTGCGACAGCCAATACCTCTTGCAACAAGCTAGTGATCCACTTTTGATACTATGTTTTTAAGAATGAATGATGTTTTAGGAACTGTGATTTTTACCTAATCTAAACGGTCATAGTAAAGTCATCTGATGATATCTGTCCAAGTGTTAGGGGTTAAAGTTACTGATAATTCAAGAGCTGCCAATGGGCTACATCTCCCAAACAACCAGCAACTTCCCCAGTCTGTAGGTGTGAGGAATAGCAGATATATCAACTGGAACACAAGTGCAGATTAAGACATTTCATTATTTAGCAAGAAAAACTGACAAAACACTCAGAACAATATACTGTATATTTCATGTCTGTGGGTAGGACTCTTCAGTCAGAAGAGAAGACACCTTCCTGAACTGAAGGCATGTCTTTCGCAGTTTCAAAACTGATTTAGACCCAGCCTCTATGATGCCAAGCTTTAAAACTTCATGACTGGATAATTCCTATTTATGAAGTTATGTAAGCCCTCCTTTCATGAATGCCTCCTGGAGTCTGATGCTCTGAAACTAGCTAGCATCTCCTGTTTTCATGCCTTACTGTGCCTGTTAACCCCCCTACCTCCATCTGGTAACTCAAAATTTTCCATGTCCTGTCCAAAAACCACAGCTTTGAATCATCCCCTTCGTGCACCAAATTTCCTGCTAGGCTTTGCATTTACTGGACAATTTCTCAATTCTTCCTGAACATCTGTGATAGTAAAACAATACCATAGATGTCAGCTCTTCATAATTTGGGTAATTTTCCGCTTATTTCAGCTAAAACTCATTTGGAGTTCAGTCTTCTCCCTTGCATTTTAAAGCTGCAAACATTTATTTATTTATAAAAAATATTTATACACCACTTTTCATTGTAAAAAAAAATCTGAGTGGTTTGTAACAATTATATGTAACATTATGCAATACAACCCATATTGAAATGTTAAAATCAGAAATCAACTATTATGGGAAAACGTATTCTTAATTGCCTGCATAAGTCTGGTGGGGTGGTGGTGGTTAGCAGGCAAGTTGAAACCAAAGATGTGCTGAATCTCTGTTGGCAGAGATCATATTGTGCCGATGACATTAATGGCTCTGATTCTTGTTGCTGTCAGATGAGCCTTGCCAACAATGCTCCTGCAGTGATGGAGCTGGGATCAGGTGGTCCCAGTGGTATGCTGGAACTAAGTTGTTCAGGGCTTTGTAAATTAATACAGGCACTTTGAACCTGGCTCAGTAGTAGTTGGGCCACCAGTGCAGATGTTTGTAACAATGGAGTCACATGTTCTCAGCCAGAAGCCCCTTTACCACCACCACCAGTCTGACTGCTGCATTCTGCACCAGCTGGTGCTCCCAAACCAGGTTCAAGGGCAGACCCACACAGAGCACATTGCAGTAATCTAGCCTTGGATTACTATAATGAACACACAACTTAAATCTTTCCGTTAATAAAACCATTCACAAAATTGGTTCCCATGTCCAAGAAATGGGTCACCTGCCTACCCTGGATGGGGTTGCACCCTTTCTGAAGGAACAAATTTGCAGCATGGAGGTGCTTCTGAATCCATCTTTGTCACTGGAAGCCCAGGTAGCTTCTGTGACTAGAAGCACCTTTTACCAACTGCAATGGTTACAACAACCATGACCATTTGTTTGGCTGCTGTAGATCATGCATTAGTTAATTCAAGTTTGGATTACTGCAGTACAATGCACTCTATGTGGAACTTCACTCACACTTGTTCTGGAATCTGCAGTTGGTGCAGAATGCTGCAACATGATTTCCCAGAGACCTGCGCTATCAAATATGGACTTAAAGGACCTTGAATGCCTCCAACAGCTAGTCACCTTCTACTCACTGATGCAGAGAAGAACATTGCTTCATGCCCTCTGTATGAGCTGCCAAAGACATCTGGTTGACTGCTGTTGAAAACCGTGCGGCACTAATTGTGTTTCCATGCTCAGATGCAACAAGTTT